GTGTGTGTGTGTGTGTGTGTGTGTGTGTGTGTGTGTGTGTGTGTGTGGTGGGGGGGGCAGAAGCCTGATCTCAGGGAGGGAAGGGAGTGGAGGCCACAGTCTCCCAGTGGGTGATGCTTTTGCTGCTGCTTAATCCGAGTCCCTCTCCAGAACAGAGAGGGATTTGGAGAGCAAAGGCCCCTGCTCCCTTCGCTCCTTTCCTCATCATTTGCATTGGGCATTACTGCCCCCCCCCTTGAAGCAATAACTCCAAGCAGGCTCCAGCCCCTGGGCCCCTGGGGTGGCCAGGGCGCCCACATCAGCTCCCACCCAGCCTCCTCACGGGGTAGGGAGAGCACTGTCTCTATGCCCTGCAGAGCAATAACACTATATTTATTTTTGGGTTTGGCCAGGGAGGCGCAGGGACATGGGGCAAGCCAGGGCCCAGAGCCCTTGGCTGTACAGAGACTCTATTTTAATGTATATTTGCTGCAAAGAGAAACCGCTTTTGGTTTTGAACCTTTAATGAGAAAAAAATATAATACCGAGCTCAAGAACACCGTGTGTTTGGTGTGTCACTGGACCAAGGGTTGGGGATACACAGGATAGAAGTAGCAAACAGGATATACGTAAACAAAGATACACACGCTCACAAAATGAAAAACGGGCCTGGCACGCTTTTAAGTCTCAGTTTCCTCATCACTCAGCAGCATGTTGGGGATCCCACGGCTGATGGGGAACAGACGTCCCGACTCCGGGCATTGCAGGGTGCCCTCCAACACATCCACCTGCAGGAAGAGGGGAAGAGAGCTGAGCACTGACAGCCTCCAGGTGTGGGTGTATGGCCAGGAAGCAAGTAATGGGCTGGTTCTCACCTCCAGCAGAACGTGGTGCATCTTTCTCAGAAATCTCTCGTCATGCTCATATCCCTGAATCGGCTCTTTGGGCACCTCGACCAGATGCAACTGTGGGCAATAGGCCCAAATCATCTCTGGGTATCCCCGTCACTCGCCCTGAGGCCAGGCTCCCTGGCCTGGTGTAAAGGACTGCGGTGAGACCACCCCCCCCCCCCCACCAAGGTGTGCACGGGAGAAAACGAGGGTCCTCACGGTGTCCGCAGCCTCCAGAAGCGCCGCCCACTCCACTTTGGGTATCATACGAGCTACGAAGTCGGGGTTGAACTCCACAGGGCTGATGCGGACCTCGGTGGCCTGCGCGGTGGAGAGATTTAGTTAGGCAGGTACCAGATCTTGGTTCTCCTACCCCTGCCCCCAGGAGAGGGGCCCGAGATCTCCCCCGGCCGGTACCTGGAGGCGCAGGGGGAAGCCACGGGGCCCCACCCCCCGCACATGCGAACTCAGCAGGTTGTGGGTGAGCAGCTTCATCTCGACGCTACGCGATCTCGCGAAGACGGAACCGGAAGGAGGGCGAATTCCCCTGGCGTCATTTCCGGGGCTGCTCCGCTCTATCCTATTGGACAGCTGGGAGGAGCGGAACCGGCGAACTTGCTAGAACTTCCCGTGCTTGCCGGAGCGGAGGTCGGATGGGATCAAATGCTGCTCCCGGAAGCGTTTTGGCAGGAGATTGCTACGGCGCAGGCCCAGTGGTTTTGGCTGAGACAAACCTCAAATTGTTACAAGTCGTGTACAACGCAAATATGTAAAACAGCTGCAATGCAGGGGCCTTCGTGGAATGCAAAATAAATATGCTTTACTCCTACACAGGCGCCTGACACCATCGTTCCTCGCCCCTTGCTTCGGTTAAGGAACGGAAATACTGCCCCAGTCCGTAAATTATGCCAATCAAAACAGCAGCACCCTATGCTTGCATGCAAATAAGCTGTGCGGCAGCCGAAAGCTCCGCCCACTTGCAAGTGCGCATGTGATCCAGTCCCTAATGCAGATGAGCCGAGCCTTGTCGAAGACTCCGCCTTGCGCGCGGCGCCCGCGCCTTCGCAGTGGAGGCGCCGCGCAGGGGGCCGGGGCGACCTACGCCCCGCCTTTTGCTCCGCCTTTCGCAGGATTGCGTGGTAGCACCTTTGTCCGGCCCAGCCTTCTACCTTAGCCGTGAGGCAGGGGCGGGGCAATTGTGGTTTCGAGACCCGGCATGCCGCTGGCGTGGCTGCGCATCCTGGGCAGTAGAGCGGGCTCGGCGGTCTCCCGGCCGGCCGTCGCTGAGTGTGCGGCAGCGGCAGCAGCGGGAGCCGGAGGGTGCGTGAAAGGAGGCCTAGAGTGGACGCTTGGCGGGGTCCGAGGTTTCAGAAGCGCTGCTGTAGCCATGGCCCCGATCAAGGTGACCGTTGGCCCAGCCAGGCCTGACCTCTTCGCGGCCCCCCAGCCCCCCGCCTATTTCCCCAAGCCCCTTCGTCCCGCTTGTCTGGGGGAGAGTCAACCTCTTTCTTACCCTCCGGACCCCTCCCCGCTGCCCTAGAGGCTCCTTCCGCCGTCTGTCCCCCCCATCCCTTCATCAAAACCCTGTGGCTGCAACGTTGTTGCCAGTTTTAGGGGCCTCGTGCCCCATCTCCTGGGACAGTCAAGGCTTTTGAGCCTTCCCCTCGTCTCCCTTCCGCATCCACCTTGGGACACCAGTGTTGAGTCTTCACCATTTTCAGGAGATTGAGTACCATGGCTTCTCACCTTATGGAACCATCTCCTTTACCCTTTTCAATCCCCATATGTGCCCTCCTCCATACCTTCCCGCCCCCATTGCACTCCTCTCGTGGCTAGTTCCCACGCTTCTGAGTTTTTCACCCTTCTCATCTTCTGGAACCATCCCCAGCTCCTTGGGACTCCCCTTTGCCCCACAGTCTTCTGAGATCTCCCCCCTCCTTCTGCTTCATCCTACAACCAACTGCTGGGTTTCTCAGAGGCACTCCCTTCACCCCTGACTTTCCCCCCTTTTCTCTACCTTTTCTGGCCCCATGAAGCCCTCACACACTCCCAGGTAGACTGATCCCTCCCCCTTCAAGAGATTCCTTCTTTTATTCTCTACCCTCTGGATGTAGGAATCTGCACCCCACTCCCCAACTTTCCCACCTTCTGCTGCCTTCCCTTTTTCTCTTCTTGAGGGTGGGACACTCAGCCGTGGCCGGGATCCCCTCCCTCCGTGTTGTCAGGGCCTCCTCCCCACCTCCTCCTGCCCATCTACCCCAGTCCTTTCCTGTAACTCAGGTTGTTTACTCAACCTCTTGCGACACCTGGAGAGGCCTCTCCCTTTTTCTGTTGTCACCAACTGGCCCTTAAGAGGAATAGGGCCACCTTGAAACCTGGAGCATGTGGGGTAACCAGGTGGTTGCTGGGAAGGGACCTCTGGAAGGTCTGACAGGGTTGGACTTTCCCACTGGGTGTCAACCCTGGCTCCACCGGACCAGGCAGGGCTACTTGGCCCTTTGTGCGCCATCCACCATCCGCACAAAGGGCCAAGGAGGCACCACCATCCGGGTGCCTCCTGCACAGCCCCCCCCACACTCCTTACCTTGGTGTCATTCCCTCTAGGTGGGAGATGCCATCCCATCGGTGGTGGTATTCGAAGGGAAGCCTGGGAACAAGGTGAACCTGGCAGAGCTGTTTAAGGGCAAGAAGGGGGTGCTCTTTGGAGTCCCTGGGGCCTTTACCCCTGGCTGTTCCAAGGTGAGGGCTGCCCTTCTGGGGCTCAGCAGTTGGGATCTTGTGTACATGTTTGTATTGTTCATTAGTCCTTTACATAGTCCTGGGGTAGCTTGTACCAAGAGGATGTAGATGATGTGACAGTTAAAAAACCGTTATTGCGTTTTTAAAAAAATAAGTTGAGGCTGTGAACAGGTACCAGGAATGTAGGAGAAAAGGTGATGCAATGAAATCCAACACCTCTCATTGATCCTGCTGGGTGACAGGCACAGTGGAAGGGACTTGGGTAAATGAGACATAGTCCTGCCCATGGAAAGTTCATGGTCTTGGCCAAGGAACACTTAAGTTTGGATCCGAGCTTCCTAGTGGCCAAGGCAAAAAGGAACTGTGGCTTACACAGTTCTCATTGTTTGATCAAAGCTGTTGAAGTAGGGAAGTGAGGAGGGCCTAGAGATGAAGGGTAGGCTGAGGAGCAGAGGCAATTGTCCATCTTCTGATTCTTTGTTTCCCCTCCCCAGACCCACCTGCCAGGGTACGTGGAGCAGGCTGGCACCCTGAAGGCCAAGGGGATCGAGGTGGTGGCATGTCTGAGCGTTAATGATGTCTTTGTGACTGAAGAGTGGGGACGAGCGCACAACACAGAAGGCAAGGTGAGGTGTGGGTCCTGCGGGGTATCAGGGGCCAAGCAGGAGATTTTTCTTGTGACCTTACTTTCTCCTTAGGTTCGGCTCCTGGCTGACCCCACTGGGGCCTTTGGAAAGGTGAGTGCACCCGGTCCCCCAGCCTCCATCTTGGAAGCAGGGACTTGGAGGGACATGGCCAGTGTGGGGACCAGCCAGGTCTGGGAGTTCCTGACCTTTCCTTTGCTTCTCCTTTCAGGAGACAGATTTGTTACTAGATGATTCACTGGTGTCCCTCTTTGGGAATCGACGGCTGAAGAGGTAAAAGGAGGGTTTCCTGTGCGGTTCCCCTGCTACCCCGCCTGTCTCCATTCCCAGCCCCCAGGCCCA